CAATATTTTAAAATTCTGCAAATTTGATATGTCAATAAATAAATGTGGCCATAGGTGCCAACTCCGTGGGTGCTCCGGGGAGCCACCTCTTCCCCACCTCCTCCTTCTCCCCTGAGTGTGCCACGTCCCCACTCCTCCACCTATCTCCCAGTGCTTGCCACTGCCAAACAGCTATTTGGTGGCGTAATAAGCTCCAGGAGGGAGGGGGGATTAGCAGGAACATGGCACACTCAGGGAAGGAGGCAGGGAAGAGGTGGGGCCAGGGCAGGGATTTGGCAAAGGATTCAGAATAGGGGTAGGGAGGGGGCTGAGTTGGGATGGGGACTTTGGGGAAGGGGTTGAAATGGGGGTGAGGCAAGGGTGGGAGGGGCCGGGGCAGGGGTGGAGTTGGGGCAGGCGGGGAAAAGGTGGGGTCGAGCACCGTCCAGCGTGAGCAGAAGTCGGCGCCTATGAATGTGGCTCCAGCATGGCAGTGAGGAATACAAGCCATTGGCTGCATTGAGATGGGAGATCCCCCTGAGGCCCTCACTTCCCCTGGTATAGGGACTCGGCCGTGAGGCTGCACCTGACCCTGACACAATGCAAGGGCTGGGCCTGTCCCAGAAACACCCTGGGGCCCTGCCCCTCTGCACCAAGCGCACCTGATGTGGGCAAGCAGGTCCAGCCCAGCAGGATCCAATTATGGAGGGGCTTAGTGTGCGGGGATCCAGGTGTGGGGTGAGAGGTTTCTGTGTGGGGCATTCTGGGTGCAGGTGGCTCAGTGGGAGATCTGAATGCACAGAGGCTTGCTGGGGGGGGTTCCAGGTACAGGGGCAATGGGACTCTGCAGGGGATCCAGGTGAAGGTGGTTGGCACTCACCAAGGGGGTCTGAGTGTGGGGAGATGGGGCTTGGTGGGGGGGGGATCAGTGGGGAAATCAAGGTTCTGGGGGAGTGGGGCTTGATGGGGGGGTCCCAGTTCAGCTGGTTGGGGCTCAGTGGGGTGAGGGTCTGGGGGGGGCTTCTCAGAGGGGTCCAGGTGTAGGGGGGTAGGAATTGTCAGGGTGAGGGTTCAATGGGCTTGCTTAACGGGGGAGCCCCAGCAGCTACCGAGGGGACGCTGCATGCTGGGCTCCCACTTTCCCCCCGTGATTCCCCTATCCCCCTTTCTTCTCCATCTCCCTCCCCTCACTCCCACATTCCCCTCCCCCGCCATGTTCCACCCCCCCTTCCTTCCATACTGTCTCTTCCCCCCATCCCCTCCCACCCCCTTCCCTCATTTCCCCCACCTTCCCCTTACCCAGTCCCACCGCGGGCACTCGTTGCACAGAAAACAGGAAGGCTCCCAGAACACAGAAGAGGAGCATAACTAGCACTAGGACCCAGGAGGCAGCGTTCAGCTGCACAGTCAGGGGAGCCCAGAGGTAGCCTCCTTCAGCTGGGTAGCTTTGCGCTTGCTGAATGAGGGGGGCAGTGGCACGTGTGCCCCCTATGCCTTGCCTCTGTTGGGGGGGGCAATCCCCCCCAAAAAACGCAACCATGGACGTCCCCCGCCCCTTGCGCAGTTTCCCTGCTGTTTTCTGCAGGAATTCGGGGTGTGGGGAAGGCATTTTCTGCGGGTGCACAGTCCAGCAGAATCCCCCCAGGAGTACACCAGGTAATTGGGTATCTAGTTGGCTATTAGTACACCAGTACATTGCATGAACCTATTTCAGAGGCCAAATGAAAAAGTGGTTGTACTAAGCCAGGGGTAGGCAACCTTTCAGAAGTTGTGTGCTAAGTCTTCATTTATTCACTTTAATTTAAGGTTTCGCGTGCCGGTAATACATTTTAACGTTTTTTAGAAGATCTCTCTCTCTAAGTCTATATTATATAACTAAACTATTGTTGTATGTAAAGTAAACAAGGTTTTCAAAATGTTTAAGACGCTTCATTTAAAATTAAATTAAAATGCTGATCTTATGCCACCAGCCTGCTCAGCCCACTGCCAGCCTGGGGTTCTGTTCACCTAGGCCGGCAGAAGGCTGAGCGGGGCCTGCGGCTGGGATGCCGGCTGGCAAGGGGCCGGCAGCCGGGACCCCAGACCTGGGGGGGGGTTCAGGGGTCAGGGCAGAGGGCTGGGGGTGTGTGGAGGGGTGCAGGGCAGAAGGCTGGGTGTGTGGGGGGGTTCGGGGGCAGGGCAAAGGGCTGGGGTGCTTGGCTCGTGGGGGTGCTCCCAGCCCCCTGCCCAGCGGCTCATGGCAGGGGGCTAGAAGGGATATGCCCTGTTCCACCCCCTTCCCCAAGGCCCCGTCCCTACCTCTTCTCTGCCTCCTCTACAGAGCAGCGAGCACGCTGCCACTCGTCCCCCTCCCCCTCGCAAGGGGCATCAGCTGATCGGCGCAGGGAAGGAGAGGAGGAGGGGCAGGAAAGCACCACACTGGGGGAAGAAGCGGGGGAGGGGGGAAGCTTGGCTGCCACAGGACCAAGCTTCTGCCTCCTGCCCCCGCAGGGGAGAGCGGTGGGCAGGGGGGCTGAGTGCGGCTGGGGGCCGGGACCGCGGCAGGCAGCAGCGTGCCACTCAAAATTGGCTTGCGTGTCGTGTTTGGCACGCGTGCCGTAGGTTGCCGGCCCCTGTACTAAGCCATAGGAAGATTTTCTGAGATATGGCCTGCATGTGAACCAAACACATTTCAGAAGAAACATTCCAACTAAGACAGGTTTCAGAGTAGCAGCCGTGTTAGTCTGTATCCGCAAAAAGAACAGGAGTACTTGTGGCACCTTAGAGACTAACAAATTTA